AATCAATCTTGCTAAATACACAAGCACCCGCCAATTGATCCATAAAATCATCAATCCTCAGAAGAGGATACTTATTCTTGATTGTTACTTTATTCAATTGCCAATAATCCACACACAATCTCATGCTACCATCTTTCTTCTTTACCAACAACACAGGAGCACTCCACAGAAAAACACTCGGTCGAATAAACTTCTTCTCAAGCAGCTCATCCAACTGTTTCTTCAATTCCCCTAACTCAGATGCAGACATCCGATAAGGAGCCATTGACACAGGACTAGTGCCCGATATCATATAAATAGTAAACTCTACCTCACGCTCAGAAGGTAAGTCACTCACGTCGTCTGGAAACACTTCTAGAAATTCTCGAACAAATGGCAGCTCCACGCTCACTGCTTCAAAATCAACTCGAAGTGAGACAAACAATGCAAACATTTGAGCCTCATCTTCTAAGAGTTCTTCTAATTGCTTAGCAGATACAAACATCAGCTCTCCATAATCACCAAACTCTGGGAACCTCACCGTCTTGTTGTAGCAATTGATATGAACATAGTTGTACTCCAACCAGTTCATCCCAAGAATAACATCGATTTAATGCAAAGGTAGACATACCAAGTCCATCACAAAATTCTTATCATAAATGGTCAAAGAACAGTTCAAACAAACTAACTCTATAGTCATAGAACCATTAGCCGGAGTATCGATAACCATACTCCAAATCATAGAAGATAATTTCAAATTCAACCTCTTAGCACATTCAAGCGAAATAAATGAATGAGTAGCACCAATATCAATCATAGCAATCAATTCAACATCATAAGTTTTGCTCTTGTCCACCAGTTCTGCAAACCGACGAATCTGCCGGTACCCAATCCCTTGTTTAATCTCTGGTCTCAATCCATTCTCAAACTTGAGACACTTTGACATCTCTGCGTCAACATGATTGTAATGCGAATAAAACTTTACCAAAGACTCGAACTTGGCCGCATACTCAACCACAGTCATATTCCCTTGTTTTAGCTTAAGGAATTCCACCTCTTTCTTGCCCCGAACATCTTCAGGAAAATACTTCCTCAAAAATTCTTCCTTAAACACAGCCCAAATTATTGCAATGCCAGCACCTCCCAATCTCTGACGAGTGTTATCCCACCAGTCTTCAGCTTCCTCTGCTAGCATATGCGTACCAAACTGCACCTGCTGAGCATCAGTGAACGCCATAACTCGGAAAATCTTCTCAATCACTTTCAGCCACTTCTACGCACCATCAGGATCATGAGTGCCCACAAAAGTCGGAGGATTGTTCCTCTGAAACTTACCTAAAGCAAGAAACTCATCTGGAGGTCCACCATTATGGGCCATCACTTGGGCAAGTGATTCCAGTGCATCAGCAATAGCACGATCATTTCTTCCAGCCATCTGCAACCAGCAACAGGGTTAAAAGAAAACAACTCATCCAACAGTGTTCTCACACTATTGACTGACAGGGGACTAACAACATAAAAACTTGCCCGAACAGACCGATCTGCTCTGATACCACTAATGTAACACCCTTTTCTATCCCACAATTAAATGGGAAAATACTCACATATATCAGAGTAAAATATTAAACTCAATAAAAATCACCTCAAAGGGCGTACATTTTCCAATAAATCAAAAATAGGTCAAGGCTCCGTAAACAACGGGTTTTCCTAAAAGTTATCAAAAATTGCAGCGGAACTCAAAAGGCATAATCCAAAGTTTTCCTTATACGGGGAAAATAATCAAAATAAACAAATCAAATAAATCATGGTTTAACTCAAGACCCCAACCCGATGTTACACTATCAGAGCAAGACCCTCTACGTTAACCAAAGTGGCCAACAACTCAAAATCTTCAAAAAGATCCTCGACTGCATCCACGGCTAAACTTGGTCATCTGCACGTTACCCATGTGGAGGCAACATTCAAACAAGCAGGGTGAATAAAACGATTCATAATAATCAATATATAAAATGGCGTCATTTTCATATTCAACATTATCATATTCATCAATAGGCATCAAAGGACACAACATCATAAATTACTCAAAATCATCTCATAAATGCAAATGCAACAAGACTCAATGTATGTGGTACCAATCATCACAGCTAAATGGACACTGGACCATCAACCCTCCATAGATCTCTATCAATAGGATCGATTCTGCTTGAGAACTGGAGCACATCAAAATACCTCGCATCCGCACAATGGGATTGAAGCCAAAGTAATCGAGGTCCTGAACCGAAGTCCGGATGCACATGAATGCATGATGCAAACGTCAATAATCATCCTCATAATAACAACATAGATGCATCATCATTCATCATAATCATCATCATCAAAACTCATGTCATCATAGAATCACCAAAACTCATGGATATATCATCATAGCTCATCAATCATTACATCATAGGAAATCTCATATAATCATGTACAAATCACATAACAATCACAATCATACTCATGTTAATTTGTCAAGGAAATCACAACATCAAAGCATCGTTGCACAAATCAGCATTCGCAAAACTCTGCTACGTTCGCTAGAAAGTTCGATGTGCGAGTTTAGGGCGATTTTCTTCGCTGTGCGAAGGATACTTCGCAGTGCGAGTCTGAGACTAACTTCGTTCGTTGTGCGAACAACGCGATGATAGCAAAACGCTGTTACGCACCAGAACCTAAAATCAACTCAAAAGTCCCACGATTCACTTCCCCAATGCCCCAAAAACATCCCTAAATCATCTCTAAGGTCTTACGGCGATAAAGGCACAAAACCTACGGTTTATTAGGCCAATCCCGTATCATATTCCCGCTCTAAATCCCATAAACCCTTACCTCTACACCACAATCATCAAAGTTTCTCACTATCAAATTTCCCTACAGGGTTAGACAAATGTCAAATCAGAGTTCTGGCCACAAAGACCTAATTTCCTTTAACCCAAATAAATTCCTACGGTTAAAATCTTAATAATAGATTTAGGTCACGAGGGTCAAATTCCCTTTATCTCATAATCAGCCTCAAAAACCTTCAAACTCTTAAATTGACCTTAAATACATTGAAATTATATATTGAAAACAATGAAGGTAATACTCCCCATATCTTAATTGTCGACTCTAAGCCTTCTCAAATCTTTCAGAAAACCTTTCGAAGGTTTTGCCTCAAACCTCCTCCTCAGAGCTTTGGGCTCAATTCTTTTCATGGTTTAACAAAATGAATCCTAATTCTACCACAATTTCCTTTTTGTTAAACATAGCCTTGACCCTCAGAATTTGGCTTTCTCAATATTACCCTCAGTAACTCCTTCTTAATTGTCCAATTTGCCATTAGTTAACTTATATTTATTTAAACTAATAATAATACTAATATATTCATATTATATACTATCATTTAAATAAATAACCCAAAATGCATAATTCTCAATATTCCACCAACACCACCGAAAATCACCAAAATGCGAATATTCTTATTTAAATAAATTAAATAAATATTCCAATAAAATTTGGTGTGTTACAAGGTACACCCCCTCCTCTTCTCCACCACCAGCGAACTAGGAGCTAACGACGCATTGCTGGCTGCTGATCCTATTCTGATTAGGTAAGATAAAAAATTAAGGGATTAAAATAAACTCCAAAATTAAAATATGGGATAAAAATAATATTTTGCCAAAATAGTACTTGTGGTAAATTAACAAACAAATCTTTTTATACAACTTTTTACTTAACGATTAATCTCGTTCTTTATTTCATTAAAAAAAACATTTATATGTTGAAGTCTTTTATCTGCATATAATTTTTTTTAATAAAAAATAAAATAAAATCTATTCCACGTAACTTTTCACAAAAGTTATTAATACTTTTAAAGTAATTATGATTAACAATTAACAAATATTAGATAATTTTTTTATTCAATAATAAATAATATCTTACTTTAATAAGAAGTCAAATAAAAACATAGTTTATGTAACTTTTCACAAAAATTATTAATACTTTAAAAAAATTATAATTAAAAAATAATATATATTATTTTCTCAAATAATAAAGAATATCTTTCTCTTTTTGTAAAAGAATAATTTTAAATATTGAATATAATTATTTATTTTTACAAAAGACTCTTATTTTCAGTAATTATTTCCAAAACAAATATATTTTATAATTGTTTTAAAATTAATTTTTCTATGATAAACAAACACAGAAAATAAGTTATATTTCTTTTGAACTCTACTTTATTAAATAACAAAATCCATTGTTTTTAATCATTTTTAACAAATGGTACTTTATTTCTTTTGTAAAGAACATTTATATGTTGGAGTCTTTATCCGTTTCCTACTAATTTTTAAGAGTTTTTTTCATAAAAAATCAAATAAAAAACACTTTATGTAATTTTTTATAAAAAAAATAAGAATTTAAAAGAGATACATCTATTATTTATACATCAATAATATAAAATAACTTTACACCATCTTTAATAAAAACTATCAGTAATCTATTATTTATATAAATAATTATTCGACAAAATATGTCTAACTTATTAGTTGTTTGTGTAAAATTACTATCTATTTTTTAATTTTTTATATTTTAAGTAATTATGATTAAAAATAATAAATAATAAATTTTTTTATCAATAATAAACAATATCTTATCTTAATAAGAAGTCAAATAAAAGCATATTTTGCGCAACTTTTCACAAAAAATATTAATACTTTTAATTAAAAAATAGTAAATAAAATTTTCAGTCAATGAAAAATAATATCTTTCTCTTTTTTCTTAAAAAATACTTTTATTAAAATATTGAATATCATTATTTATTTTTACAAGAAACTCTTATTTAAACCAATGCAGAAAACAATAAACAGCGAAAACTACACATTTGAACTCTGAAAACCAGTTTCAGTTTCAGTTTCAGGGGAAGAAGAAGAAGAACAAACGCTAGGGTTTTGCGTTTGATTTTTCTTTACGTTTCACACTCTCAAACAACAACAAGCACAAAAATGATGAACGGTGATCCTCCTCTCACTATGTTATCAACCGAACAGATTCAAAAGGTACCTACTTTTTTCCATCACCAATTTCTCTTCTTCGTTTTCCTTTTCACCGTTACGTTATATCTATAGATTTGTATACACGCGTATTTTCATCTTTGAATTCCATAAAAATGTAACCTTTCCCTTTATTCTTTTCTGTTGTGTTCTTCGCGTTTTGGAAATGTCACCAAATGTGTGTTGCGTTCTTCTCTATTTCTTTCCTTGTGCCCTAAGTTATTAATTCGTTTTTCCCCTTTAGTTAAATTTTCTACATTTGTTCAATCCAACGTGCGTAGTAAACTTCATTTTTTAAGTTGTTTATCATATTGTTCATCTGTATTAAGATAATGCACTTTGTTGAAAAGATTGAATTTGGACCTTTGATTGAAATAATTATGTGTTGCTTTACCTGAATTTTTCTCATATAGAGTGGTTTTTATTCTTGTTGCAGTGCTTGGAGGAGAATAAGGAGTTGATACTGGCAATAATGGAAGGAAAAAGCCAAGGGAAGTACGCTGAGATCGCGCCGTAAGTAGCCATCTATTTTTCGTTGTGTTTAATTTGTATTGATTATGTTTGATTCTAAGTATTCTCCAGTGGTTTGAGTTGCACTCTATTTTTTCTGTCATGAGTCTCTGAATCATTTTCTTAGTGTTTCTGAATTTTATTGCATACAAGTTAGTACTCTATGATAGTTAGCTTGGAAACCCTCTCTACTTTTGAAAAACTGCTAGTGGGTCTTGCTCACTTGAAAAACAAGGAAAACGGGTTATTCTTCTTAGATTGCAGCGCATGTGATATGATAAATGAAACTTAATGTGAAAATAGGAATTAGTGAAAAAGTGTTTAAAAGGAGTATGTTTCATTCTCTGCCAACATTTAATTGTATGATAAGTCCAGATGCTTAAGTTTTAATGCAGAAGGTTGCAATTATGAATTACATGTTCATGTAACACATGGTAGAAATAATCTTTCCATTTTAACCATTATATCCTTTTGCACCTTGTTCATTCTTGCAGTGGTGAAATATTGATCCTAACTTAGTTAAATGTATATTAGTTTATTAGAAGAGATTTCTAGGAGCACACATTTTTAGTAGTAGCTCAAACTAGTGTTAAAATAAAAATGTTCTTGAAAGGTTTTACCATTTCCTGATTTTTGCTATGAATGTATGTATTCTATCACACTATTACCCATTCAATCAACAGTTATTATTATGTACTTGGAGTTTAATCTAAATAAGAGATATCTGATATCTAATATGATCTTATCTGCCATGAATAATGGAAATGTTGAGAAAAATTTAAACGAAAATAACATTGTATACTAATTGGACAAAGAACATTTTTCTTCATCTTTTTATGAATTGTGTGCCATGTGCTAGTTCTCATATTGTTGTCCCAAATTAGCTCTGACTTTCCGGTTGATGAATATAAAGTAGTGTTTGGTAGGCAAGTTAGAACAGAACAGAAAATGTTTATGATGTGCATGTATAAAATAAAACATGACATTAAGAAAGAGTGGCATATTTTGACTTCACTCCATAGAATGGAAGCAAAGATATCTACTTCCATTCTATTCATATGCTAAACACTACCTTAGAATTGTAGCCTGCTATTGAATTTGAATTTGTTTGTTGCAAGTGTCATTCACTATATGGTGTGGTTGCATTCTTCATTGTTATCTATGGCTTATCATATTGTGTATTGCTAATAATAATTAAGCTTGTGTCCTGGCTTATATATCCGGTATTATTCTTATAACCTGATACAGATATCAAACCAAGCTTCAGGATAACTTGACTTTTCTTGCCAGACTTGCTGATTTTGATTCCCAGCCTGAGCCTCAGGCACAGATGCATTCTCAGGTTGTTAATATCATTTGATTAACCAGCCAAACATTAGTTTGAATTATAACATTTCGTAACTCATGTGAAAATTGTGCCACAGGGGCAAGGCATGCAGCGGCAGCCTCAAGTAGAAATGTCCCAGCAACGACCGGACTTCTCTACCGGAAACACGGCTTTTGATATGAATGAGCAGCAGCAACAGCACTTGGCAATGTCTTTACAACAGCCTGATCTTTCAACTTCAAAGTTGGCTTTCCAGATGAATGAGCAGCAGCACTATAAGCAACCAACTTTCCTCCAACAGCGTCAACTTTTCCCTGAAGGCATGAATAGTTTTTCTAGTGCTAACAACAGTGGCATGCAAACAAGAAACTGCAGTCTGCAGGATACCCCATCATTCAATCAAATGGGCTCAGATGCAGGTCCTGGTTGGTCTTAGAAACAGCCAGCATTTGGATCTTTTGAGAAAACTGGATGTTTACAAAACCATGAAAATGTCTTACAACTCTTAACAGTCATATTTTTCCTCATATCAGAGATGAAAAATGTTTTATTTTTGTCGAATTACCTTTTATTTATAATTTTTGCTGTTTTATTATTATTATTATTATTATTTTCTTACCTGTTAAAATAATCATCCCGTTTCTTGCGAGGACACTTGTGAATGATATCGAAGACAAGAACATGGAAAAAGTATGATTGCGGAGGTTTTTGGAACATCTGTCTTATTCTTGTGAAAACAAAACCTGTTATGATTTTGATTTTTCTATGTGTATGATTATTGTCCAAATCTATCATGGTTAGAAATTTTGTTTGGAATCAGTATCTTATCCTAATTTTTATGTTTGCAAACATTTGGAGAGAGGGCATAGACTGAGGAGGAGAAGATAGGGAAAGATTTTATGTGATGATGCCTTGGTATTTTCATCTTATTTTCAACAAATCGGATTCGTTCATTAAATCTAATGGTGTCTATTGTCTGATCCGGTTAACCATAGAATGACTACCTCATATTAGATGTCGTCTTTTATATCATTAGGTATTTTATTTTTCTTAAAAATTTAGTTAATTTCACTTAAAATGATTTATTATAAGAAAAGGGAGGGTAATAAATAAAAAATTGGATAGTAATATTTTTTCCTTTGCTAGCGATTGAACCCCTAATCTTTTACTTTTTTTTTTTTAAACTATTTTAATTTTTAACTCAAACTATATATATATATAGTTTCCCCAGCGCTTGACCTATATATATATATATATATATATATATATATATATATATATATATATATATATATATATATATATATATATATATATATATATATATATATATATATATATATATATATATATATATATTTATATTTCGATAACCTATAATAATAGACAAAGAGTGTTACAGACTGACTCAATGGCTAGACATTATTCAATTCCCTCCTGCTCTCAGAACGGTCCAATTGCTTAAGTCCAACCACTTTAGGAGAGAATTTACCTTTATGCCCCTTCAACAGGGGAGGCTGACCAGTTTACCCTTAGTCACGACACTTCTCCTCGTCAGTCTCTGCTCGTCACGCACGGTTCCACCATCCAGAAACAGTCAAGACGCTCGTGTTCGTAATTACGCCTCTGCCTGTAGTAACGGCTAGTTATGGGCACGTCTGTCCGTTTCAACAATTAGTTCTAGCAGTTACCTATTCTTCGGGAAACGATTATCTCGCCCCGAAAATAGGGACCAATGGTCAAGCGCTGGGGGCACTATAAAAACCCTCTCACTTGAGAGGGTCAGGTATCCAATATTCACCCTGAAATACTCATATTATGTATTTGCTCGTTTTCTTACTTTAGCATCGGAGTACCTTGCAGGTACACTTCATCCTCCTTTTTCACACCCAACATCACAAACACTTGTCTTTGCCCCACCTCAGGTTCTGATCAACCGGTAAGATCAGTGGCGTCGTCTGTGAGAATCTTGTTATCTCCGTCTTTTCTTTCTTCGTAGACACAAGACCAAAACAATTTTTCAAATTTCCGATCATGGTCAGCCGCGACAACATTCTTGATGCTCGTAATTCTGCTTTCCTCCCGATCAGCAAGACTGATGCTGACAGAGCAACCACCTCTCATGGCGGCGATGTCCTCCGATAAAGAGACAGAACCACAACTTCTCCATCCCCTGTTCGCGTAGATCACGGCGAAATTCCGCTTGTCCCACAGCACCTGTCAGTCCTAGTTTCGCCCAGCGCCGACCCGACCATGGTGGTCCTCCTCGAGGTTCTCAATAAGACCAACCTTCTAATCCTCAACCAGAACGCGAGGATTGAAGCGTTGGAAGAATCCAGTCATCCAAGATCCCCTCCGCCGAGGAAGGAGCGTCAGCGACCACATAGTCCTCCTCCCCGACACGAGGGGAACTGTCAAACACCTCCAGAGTCAGAGACCCTGACCATCCGCAAACTCGACGACATCTCTTCCCGAAACCAGCATTCCCCGCAACCCAAGAGGACCATAAAAGGCCACCAATCAGAATCCCAACGTTCGCCTCCGCCCATATCCAAGGGCCGAGCACGAACCTCGTCTCCCCAACGAGACCGCCATCCTACATACAGACGAGACGCCCGCTCCTCATCTTGGACCAGCAGCAGCAATGACGACGAGCCTCGTGGCCCGTTATCACAGGAGATCATGGTCATGCGCCTGCCAAAGGGACTAGAGAAGCCCCCCTCTCTGGGAACATACGACGGAACAACAGACTCCGACGAGCACATCGAAAATATCGATGTGCTCCTCGGACTCATCTTCAGCAGTGGAAGCAACAACCTTTAACTTCTCCACCAAGTCTTTAGCAGCTTTTTTTTGGGTAGCTAGGGCGTCCCTTTCTATGGCCATCTCCTTGAGACCCTGCTGTGCAGCTTCTTCGAGCTCCCTATCCCGCTCCTCCTGAAGCTTCTTGACCTTTTCTTTCAGGGCCGCCACCACAGCTTGAGATTTCTTCAGCTCAAGCGGAGATCCGTCCTCGGTGTACACCACGACCATCTCCAAGATCTTCATCAAGGCAGAGGCATCCTGCACAAGCATGGCCCGCTTGCTGGGATGATCCATTTCCTCGAGCTTTAGAGATTCTGCCCGAGGAATGGACAAGGAGGACCCCTCGAAGAACTTCTTATTATGTAGGCAGGGAGGCAACTCAAACTTGCTTTTGACAGACTCCCGGATGAGGTCCATGATTTCATTAATACGGGTGCGCTTGAGCCTCAAACTCACGGACATGAGGGACGTCTGAGTGGTTGGCGGGGTAGACGAGGAAGTCCACGATCCTGTCTGGGGAGGAGTCGTTCGCTGACCAAGGCGACTTTTCCTAGGGCCGCGCCGCCTTTCATATTTCCATGGGCATTCTTTACCATCCTCTCCTGTGCCAAAGACATATTACTTACAAAAACAATGAACACATCAGCGCGTGGAAAGAGAAACATCTCGGATAAAATAAGAAGAAGCGAGAAGCTACCCAAGAGTTTAAGATCCTCCTCACAAGTGCTACACTTGAGGAGCTCTTTAGTATTAATGTACCAGGCTTCCACCTGTAACCCCCATCTTCTTCATAAAGCACCTGCCCAGCACGAGTTATGCACTGGGCGGGGAGGAAACCATCCACAAAGGCCACCAGCTTAGCATAGCTGGCCCAATCATCCTCAACCAAATGATGAGGAGTAACTATGTACTCATCATTCGAGCGGGTAAAGTGAGTCCCACTCCTCAGAAGGGGAATGTGAACAACATTTGGGTAACTATTTTTCCTTCCTCGTCTATCAGATCCTCCCTGTTTTTGTCCCTAGAGACCTCCCATACAAAGGTCGAGTCGGTAGCTTTCTCTGACACAAGCTCAATCACATAAAATCTCTCTTTGAAGGTCTGAATAGATTCAGAGAAGGGTTTGAATAATTTCCCCCCTGCTTCAAAGAAACCCAACCGAACTTCCTCTCTGACACCTGTCGTTGAAGATGGAAGATAGTGAAGAAGAGTGTGAGAGTGGCCCCGATCTACAAGTACTCACACACCAACTCATACGCCCGCATGAAGGCAATAGAATTTGGATGCAGTTGGGAGGGCTCCAAGTCCAAATGTACGAAGACTTCCCGTTGAAAGTCTGTGAAGGGAAGCCTCAGCCCTATCTCTTTGAAAACATACTCGTATATAGGAAATCTCTCCCCCTATGCCAAGCATATACAGTCATCCTATGAAGGTAAGTGGACCCCCCATCTCCCACTGGCCCCGCCATGGTAAACACATCCCCGGTGTATGAAGCGAAAAGCAAGGCATGATCTATCGGCTCGGCCACAGTCCACTCCACGGCCGAGGTCCTCGCACCAGTCACCCCTCCAGCCTCAGGGGAAGAGGAGTCATCATCCATTTCAGTATCTTCTGAGGATCTACCTTCGGAAAAATCTGTAAGGCGTTCTTCTTCGTCAGCCCTGCGCAACATCGCCTTTACCTGAAAAGCAGAGGATAAAAGTGAATTTGATGATAAAATCAAATCCACCCTTCCACTGCTAGTCAAGTGAAAGGGCGCGCAAAGGTCCGAGGATGTTCCCTACTCAAATGGCACAGCTAAACAAACAAGGAAGTGCCCGAGAGTCCTCCCTGGTACATCCCGTGAAAACTCCCCGCGCATAAAACACATAGCTCTCATGAAGGAACCACCAGAATCCATGGTTCCCTCCAGCAGCAAACACCGTCGTGTCGTCACTACTCCAGGATTACCTAAAAACCTATGGCTTGCTAAATTTCTCTTTCCTAAAAATGACCACTACGGTGCCTGCAGCAGAGAAAATGGCCCCGCCACCAACAACCACCATAAAACACCCTAGAACTACCTTGTTTCAGCCATAACCACATGCATTCTAAAGCATAAAACCAGAAAAAGCAGATAGTAAGCAAAGAACCGACATACTTACTTGGTCGAGGAAGAAATTTCTGGATTTGAGTAGCTCTGGTCGGACTTTGCACGGTGTCCAAAACAAAACTAGACGGTGGCGAGCGGCGGAGAACGAGGAACAGAGAGCAAGAAGAGAGAGAAGCGAAAGTTCTGAATAAACAAATCCTCTCACTATTTATTGACAAATGTCAGGCACGTGCACGAGCATGCGCGGGTAGAGCGTCATCATGACCCTATCCTAGCCATCATCACGCATTTAATGCAGCACACGGCTCGAGGCACATGTGGCACCCCCACTCTTCAAATCCCATCAACCGTTGGGCTCCCCGGATCTCAAGCTCCCTGATAACAACTTTTCAGATGCCCGGGTACAGATTCCTTCGGACACAAGGAAGCTTACGACGACTATCCCCGGAAAGCGAATTATCCTTAAGTCATCGCTACCATGCTCGGTAGCAACGACTTGAGGGGTTACTGTTCCGGACTGGCCCAATCCACTTCTGCTT